ACCTTTACTTTTGTGGCAGTGAGATAGTGTGATGTCTTTACTGGGTTAGTGTAGCTCATTCCTTACTTAACTATGTCAGATTAGGAAAACGAGGTTCCCGAGTCCGTTCCGCAGGAAAACGACGAGTTAGACTCCTAAAGACTTTATAGTTCTATTTATAGTTTTTATATCAAGTATCTCTTTTAATTAGCTTATTCTTTCATGTTTTGAGTACGTTTTTAGTTATTGTATAAGAGATGTTAATCAAAATTTTTATTACGCTTTCGCATTTAAAATTTTTAATACATACATCTTCATTTAATTTTTGGGGCCGTTACAAGATCGACCAAAGCACCATCACTGACATGGGGGCATGGGGAGAGAAAGGAGAAAGACTAAGAAGACATAGGGAGGGGAAAGAGACGAACTATTGTGAAATTGCTGGAGAGTTCGAGGGAGAGGAAGATTTTATTGAACTATTGCTGAGGGATAGAAATGGAGACGAGAGGTAAAAAAATATAGAATTTCAAATTCTATTATGGTAATACTTGTCTGAATCTTTACTTTTCTGATTTTGAATGTCTATTGAGTCTTAGTATCAAGAGAGAGTTGTGTGGGGGTCACAAAACTGGACTAGAGAAACTATGATGATATCGAATGGGAGTAGGATTGGTTATGAAGGAAAGTAGAGGATGACCGATCAGATGGGAACAAGTGAGGAGCTGAAATGAGTGTGAACCAAGTAGGCTAAGATGAAGTCATAGAAATTGAGAAGAAGAATTAGATAGTATGGTAGAAGGGGAGTGATGAGAGCACAAGGATCGTCGGTGTGTATGTTCGAGTATGATCAAAATCAGTGAGAAGATAAGTGTGTGTGTGGCCTTCACAGGCCAGAGGTTATAAGTCTACGTGTGTGATTGTGTGGTGTGTTGTGTATATGTGTGGTCTTTACAGGCTGTGTGTGTTGTTTGAGATGGCCTCCACGGACCGTGAGACGGAGGGCTATTGTGATATGCCTTATGTGTATGTATGGCCCTACCAGGCCGATTTATTTTACAGGTTTGGGGTGGATTGATGAAAGGCCTCATAAGTTGGGTGTATGTGCGGCCTCTAAAGGCCGTTGTTTCAGGTTTTGGAATGGATGGTGGATTGGTTGGGTGTGTGAGTAGCCTCTTCGAGTTGGAGATGCGGTATGGTGTGTGTATGTGGTCTGTAGAGGCTGCCGGATATCATCAATACTGATGTAGTGTAATGGTTGTATGTGAGCGGCGTGTGTGTGGTCCTTTCGGTTTGTGGTTGCTGATTTTAGTACGTTGATACATGTGGAATGAAGTGTATGTGTGGGTGGTCATTTAATGACTGGTGTATAGGTATTCTAGTATTGTTGGTTATGGAGGTGTGGTCATTCAGTGGTTGCGGGTGGCCAGGTTGAGTGCTAGGGATGTTCAATATCTGATGGGAGCACTAGAAAAAGAATATGGTTAGGTAGTATGTCTGGTTGAGTGGAACATGGAAAGGGTCCTCATAGGAGGAGTTATAGCATTATGGAAGGGTAATAAGGGCTATGTGAGGGGGTGTCGGGATAAGAACTTAACTAATTTCTATAATTTAGTTTCAAGTTCTACATTTATTTTACTGGGTCTGTTTATGCTCATTACTTTTATTTTTAGACGTGTCAAAACAGGAGTCTGCATCAAAATGTTTAGAAATGAAATATCATGCATAAGGAATGAGCGATGGTTGGTATGAGATATTTTTCTTAATAAACAGATGAATGTACACACCTTATCACCATGAGAATAGAATTGTGCGATATAGATTGATTATGTATTCTCTAAGAAATTTAGTGAATAAGATGATGTGAACTCATTATATGATGCATAATTATCAGTAATTGAGTTAACAGGCTACAATAACACCTCTATAATTAGAATAAGGCGTTACATAAATTATTATCATTAAAAGAATCTTAAAATTCAATTACAATAAATTAAACCCTATAAACATCTCCTCCACATCTATGGCGGAGAAGATATTTATTTAGTAACCCTTGTGTGTATCTATATATATATATATATATATATATATATAGAACTCCAAACACGTAATTTTAATAGTACACACACACACACATATATATATATACAATTAATTAATAGCGCATAAAAAAAAATCCCCGTCACATCATTAATCTCTATGAAAGAGTTGTAGCACATAACAGTCTGTATTTATTTCACAAATTTCATGCTGCCTTTGCTTGACCATGATAATGCACTTCTATATTTAATAATAATAATAATAATTTATTAGTATTAACTCTGTAATTGTAGCACATAATTTTCTTGTTAAATAATAACGGTGTTTATTAAAAAAGGAGTTTTTGAACAATATAAAGATTAAAAATAAAATATTTTTAATAAATTTTACTAATAATTATTGAAGACCTAAAATAATTTATAATATGATAATAACAATAATAATATATAACAAACTACCAAAAGGAACAAGATATTTTAGTTCATAAGGAGTTCAACTGTTGTTATTATTATATAATAAAATAAAATAATTATCATATGGTGTAATATGATAAATTCATAATCCAAAAATCACTGAGTAATTTCTTAAACTCATATAATTAATTTTTTAAAAAATTTAAATTCAAATTATTAATAGTATTTAACTTAATTATTTGTATAAAATTTAAAAATTACATATTTTTATAATACAAAATTAATATCACTAAAATATACCCAAAAAAAAGGGGATAAAAATGGTGCAACTTTTGTGGGCATAATCTTATATTTCGTATTTTGGAGTTAAATACTAATTGATAGTTTAATGTAATAGTTCCAATAAGTGTTTTTGAGTTGACAAAAACTTTCTGTAGACTTAAAAATCTTGCTTATCTTAAAAGAAATAATAATACCAATTTATAATTGTTGATTGAGTAGAAGTATGAAATGTGATGAGGCGAATACTAAGTTACCTCCGACCAAACACAGCTTTAGAAAGGCAATTTTGTCTTAAATAAGCATATCTCAGATCCACTAACTATGAAGATATATATATATATATATATATGTATGTATGTATAATCCTTTAAACCAATTTGGATGAAAGAAAAGGAAAAAAAGAAAAAAAAAACATGCATGAACTATCAACTATCCTTATCATTCACAAATAAGTCATCTCCTCGATAGTAAAAATAATAATAATAATAACTAGTTTTTATGTAATAAAATTAATTAATTAATTAATAAAAAAAATTATGAGTTCATGATACTTTTAAGTGTTTAATATTATCTTATAGTAAGTTTTCGTTTATAATCGATTTATTTTCGGTGTAATTTTTTTTTTTAAGTTCAGATTTGAATCTTAATAAAAATTCTTTTTATAGTTAATAAGAAAATTATGAAGTCATCTTATTTTTTCTCATGTTATTATACTAGTAATTTTAAGCGTGTATTTCAGGGACAAAATATGTATACACATATATATATATATATATATATATATGTATAAAACTCCATTTGTAAATCTTGAAACAATATAAACAAATGAAATCATGAGATTTTTTTTTATATATAAATATGATTATACAATCTTGCATAAAAAATAATTGGAAAGTTGTGATGAAAAAAGCTTCATATGCATATATACATATATATATATATATATGTAATTGTATATTCCAATTTCAGTATTAGAATTTTAGGAGTATAAAGCCATAAACGACGCGGCTATTAGTATAGTTTACGTCGCGACCAAACACAAGTTTTAAAAGGTAGTAGATTTGTCTTGAACAATAAATCTCAAACAATTTGGAGGCATCATCTATCAGAGCAACCCACGAATTAATTAACTTGGAAAGTCAGCAAAACAATAATAATAGTAATTAAATATAAAATAGCGTGCGAATATATTATATACATACATACATACATACATACATACATACTGGGTAGATAATTGTTACGTCTTTATCTTATACAGTCACTGAAGTTATTAACGAATAAATTTGTCCCTTCCTACAAGGTTGACCACCTTTTTTCCCCTCTTTTTTTATTTTTTTATTTTTTTATTTTTTTTTATTGAGAAGTCTTGATCCTGCCTTTCCGCACAAGTGTATAAATTTCATCTTAGATATTAATTAAAATTTAATTTATAGTATTTTTTTTTCCTTACAAGATAGCGTTTTATATTTATTTCAAATACTCAGTTATTTTGACTGAAAATTCAGAATTGATCAAATCATATTTGTAACATTTTATAGTTCAAAAAATGTTCAATTATTTAATTAAATTAGTAAATCAATAATTGAAAATATTAATTTACTAGAAAACACAAAATTGAATAGTAACAATTTTGGTTCCTTAATTCAAAAACAGAAACTACCAAAAGTTCAACCATCCATCCTTGTCTCATGCCAGAGACATAATATCCGAAATTTTTTATTACTTTATGGTCTAAGGTCTTCATCAATAACGGTTGCCTACCAGAGATGTGAGATCTAGGAGTCCTGACTTCCATTTCAAATTCTAACACTGCGTTTCAGCTAGAGGACGGACAATTGAAGACTGCATTGAAGACACTTAAACAGTAGTTCTTTAATATTTTATGGTAATTATAATATAATAATTTGTAAACATTATACAGTAATTACTGGATTGCTGCTTATCAGACTAAATTACTTTATAACATATTAAGGTTATCTTCAAAACAAACCATTAATAACTTTAACAAAATTTATTTCAAAATACATACATATTTAATTAGAATAGCATAAAAGTTTTATATAAAAGTAACAAAAATCGAGACTAAGAAAATTTTAACTGAAAGATGATTTTTTATTTCGTTCAAAGCAGAAAGGAAAAAAAAAGACAAAACAAAAGCACATACTCTCCCAAGTCCTGACTCTGCATTCTTTTTACATGATAGTCCATTGTTGTACAGGAGAAAATGGTTCTAATAAAAATTAGGCAAAAATATCAAGCTAAATACAAATAATTTAATAACCAATATGATAAATGCATCTTTATCGATAAGAATACTTATAAGGACACTGATAAATAGCGAGATTTCCATCATATTCATAATCATCAGGTAGCAATCTTTCCATTTCCACGAACCGCTACCAAGATACAACTTGAATGATACAACAAGGTCATAAAGGATGACACTTATACAACAAAGTTATACCCAGCTAAGTTTTATGTACAGGAAGAGTATTATTATGTTAGAACCAAATACCTCCGTAGAGTGTCCATGGGATGGGGAGATTATATCTTGTTGTTTAAACATTCCTCACCTTCAGCCTTACTTCTGAGTGCAAATGGTGCTCTTTCTTTGGGCTTGAAGCGACAGTGCCAAACTTGTGGAGCAAGAGCTTGAAGCACGGCAAAAACAATAAGTATAGTGCAGCCAAAATAGCCGGAGCTGCAACAGCCCATCCCAGTAACTGCAGAAATTCACCATTGGGTCATTTTTATGATGCTCCACTTCCATAAAACATTGTTTTGAAACAGAATAAGGATTAGGAGAAATGAAATAGGAAAAAGATATCTCAATTCAAATAAGAGATAAAAGAGAGTAAAAATCTTGACCACCCACCGCATGGGCAATGCTTAGTAAGACTTCATGGGAAGCTTTGCCAGTTAAAACTTTCTTCAATGCATCAGATGTTAAAGGGAAATGAGCTCCACNNNGAACTTCAGGAAGAGTTGCAACAATTCTTGTGTGCCATGAAAGAAAAAAGCTTATAAAGATTTCCTTTCGATACGTCAAATTTATAAGCATTAAAGTGACAGTTGACAACCAACAATTAAATGGAAGATAACCTTGGAAGCAGATAAGTACCTTAATTCTATTGGAGTAGCAATGAAATTAGCGAGCATCACACTTGGAGCATGGCAAAAGGATCCAAGCAATGCAATAGCCATCCCACATAGGAACACTGTGACCCCTGTTAATGATAAACCAGCCATTGAAGAAATTTTAGCTGTAATCCAAAACCTCTCTGCATATTCATCTTCTCAAGGCAAAGAAAATTTAGAGAAGAATACATTTGTACTCCTGTTGGAAAATACTTAATGAATATTGCCTGCCATTAGAACTAAGCACCACCCAATGCAAAGATAAGAAAAGAAATGCAGACAGACAAACACAAGAACCAAAGGAAGAGAATCAGAACTCTATAAAGTCCTTATGGTATCCACTGTTTCATTCATTAGAACCTCTAATTCACCCCCTTGGTGCCTTGTTTATAAAATCTTGTATTTTATTCTCACACAAAGAACCTTTGATTCAACCCAGCATATTGGAGCTGTGTAATAAGTTAATCTCTCATCTACTCCTAAAAGTCATAAGCCACATTGTATAAGCATTTAGTTCTACTGTCTCAATATCACAGATTGGTGAAAAATCAAACTTGTAAAGTGAACTATCAGTCTTTGGTCATGCCCATTGTTAGCAATTAAATGTTATGCAAATGATGAACAACAGATGAAATACCATAATGAAGGAGAAAATAAATAAAATGAAGAATAACTGTCCAATAAAGAATAGAGATCATTTGCTTATGTATCTAGCTTGTATTTGGAAATTGTTCCAATGAGAGTGATAAGACTGGCATAATATTCTGTAATCTTTAGCTGATAAGTCAACAACATGTACCGCTTCTCAAACTTTCTTGTCATAGACAAAAGTTTGTTTTTTATAGGTAATAATATATTTTCAAAGGCAGGAGGGTTCTCAGAGTTTTCATTCTCTCTTGGATGACGACTACTGAACTGATCCACGACACTGAACTTAGGTGATAATATACTTGCTATTGCTTGTTATACTAAGTAAATCTCAATAAACCAGGTAATGGTAAAACTCAAGACCTAGATCTCGTTCCTCTTCTGCACATAGGCGGTACCCTCCTTGGTGCTCTGTCAATGTTAATAGACAACATGTACCGCTTCTCAAACTTTCTTGTCATAGACAAAAGTTTGTTTTTTATAGGTAATAATATATTTTCAAAGGCAGGAGGGTTCTCAGAGTTTTCATTCTCTCTTGGATGACGACTACTGAACTGATCCACGACACTGAATTTAGGTGATAATATACTTGCTATTGCTTGTTATACTAAGTAAATCTCAATAAACCAGGTATTGGTAAAACTCAAGACCTAGATCTCGTTCCTCTTCTGCACATAGGCGGTACCCTCCTTGGTGCTCTGTCAATGTTAATATTTCTTCTTCTACTTTTTTCTAGAGGACCCAGATCTCATTCCTCTTCTGCACACGTGGCACCTCCTTGGTGCTCTGTCAATGTTAATATTTCTTCTTTTACTTTTTATAGAAGATCTAGATCTTGTTCCATTTTATGATGCAAAATTCCTTAAAGATCAAGATTAACAGATGATATGTAATAAATCTACTTTTCAATCATAAATTATAACATCCTATCACAATCAGATTTAGATGAATACTAAGAGCTGTCCTCACAAATAAATGGCTCTAGATTTTTTGTAAAACCTTCATTTGGAAGCACTGTTATAGGAAGTGCTAAACACCATTAGACATACCACATATGGGAAACACTCCAAGTGTTATCCCCAATGCAGCAGAGAATGCTAACTGCTTTGGCTCTGCACCCCTGTGGATAAAAAAGCGGAAGAAAATAAACTAAGATTCTCTGCATTCTCATAGAATCCAATTATTTCAAAAATCCAGTAAATAACAGATATTGCTTGAACATAACTGCTTCTTCGGAAACCAACATCATCAGTGATCAGCAAATGATTCAACTTAATTATCACTATTTTTTACACTTTCATGTTACCCACGTAAAAAAAAGCAACCATGATGTCCTGCAACCCATTTTTCAAAAGTCATAAACTTAGGAAGTAAAACTTTTCCAGCAAACAAAGCATAAAACATATTTTGGATATGCAAATTTGGAATATAAAGAAAATGTGAAGTCAGATACAACCAAGAAAAATAATTTAACTATTGAAAAGTGCAACCTGTAAGTAAGGCTATATACCTGCCTAGAAACTATCAAATTTTAATCGAGCTACACAAAAATTCACTAAAGAAGCAAACATTAAAAATACTACAATTTGAGTATGCAAACGTGCACATGAGGAAACACATATAATACAAAAAGATGCGCATTAGCTAAAAAGAAACTCTAAAAAGAGAAAAGGGAACTATAATTGACAATAGAGAGACGGGTATGTAAAGTGGTTTAAAGAGAGGGTATGTACCTACGAAGGATTTGTAGAAGAGGATCAACAATCTTCTTGTTAACCCAAGCGCTCACTCCAATCTTTGCCACCTCCATACCTAGTTCCCCTAATTTTCTCTTCAAGTGAAAATCAACCGGTCACTTAACTATTCTTTTTCTCTTTGGTCCAAATTAACAAAAAGAGCGAAGGAACCGATTGAATGCTAAAAATTCATACATGACAGCAAATGAAGAACACTAACTAAGGTGGTTAACAGAGATGACTGAAAATATCTACGCACAAAAAAAAAGAAAATAGAGGTTGGTCTAACAATGATATGTGACCATTGGAAATAGAAAACCGGATCCTCGATCTAGCTTTAAATTCATAACTCAACTTTTCATTTCTCGTTTCAGGTCCTGGCATTTAGCTTCTCAAACTCAAACATGAATTTCGTTGTAGCCACAGAAACTACAAGGTAAAAGTTCCGCGACTACAAAAGTTCGTTGGAGATCAAACTTACATCCAATCAACTTCAAATTTCCGATACCAAAACATGTAAAAAATCTAAACGATTAGCTTCGGTTAATCAAACAGACGTATACTTGTACTAAATTCGATTCAGAATCTGCGCAGATATATGCAAGTTACTAGGGTTACCATTCTCACCTTGAGACGAGTCAAACACTGTTCTTCGTTATCACGATTTTTATTGATTTCTGCAGCATTTCTCAACGAGTTGGCATTACTTTCCTCAAATGAGGGAATAAATTTTGTCTTTAATTGAAAGAAATAACAATAAAGAGTTCCAAAATAAAGGAAGATCACATCATTGAAGTTGCTGCGAGTACGCAACCTCGAGTAGCGACCAGCCACAATCACAGAAGGATATGAAGAAATTTAAGAGAGAAATGCCCAAAACGGAGAGGGCCATAGATCTATGTTTAAACTACGTGGGCTTTCTGTTCTATAATAACTTGCGAGGCCCGTTGATGTAAGACTATGTTTGGATGAAATTATAGGACAAAAATAAATGAATATAAGAGGTTGATAATTTCAATTAATTTTAAGAAGTGTTGGCAATAAAATGAAATTGCTCTTAATTCGCTTTTAATAACTTCTTAGGGGTATGTTTGAAATAAATTTAAATTAATAATAATCACTTAATTCAATTAAAAATGTTGAAACTTTTCTTTAGAATAATAAAAATTAGGTATGCATTTAATTTTGTTTGGATAGAAGTTTGGGATACATTATTATTTTTTTCCAATAAAAATGAATTTTTATCATTTTTTTTTAAAATATTTATGAAAGGCCAAACATAGTGTTGCTTCTAATTTTTTTTTTAATTAAATTTAGTTACCACCCTACTCTTACTTTGAATTTTAATACTGAAAATTAAATATGCACAATAAATTATGTTTTAATTATGTACTGAAATTAATATAAAAATTAGAATTATGATTTAACTATAAATTGAACCTAACACAATATCACATCTTCAACTAATTAGATTTAGTTTTTTCTCAATAACAAACAAAATTGATGTTTTTGTTTTTGATTGAATGGAGAAAGAGTTCGAAAGGTAATAACTATTGATTTTTAAATGTCGTTTTCATTTTTAAGAATTTAGGTAATTCCTCGTATGCATACATACATACATACATATATAAATTTGGAAAAGTGAAAACTCAAAACAATTTTCTGTAACTAAATAAGGATGCGTTATTTGAAGGTTTTGTGGTAGATATAATCTGCCATTATATTAGTGGACCTATATATATTTAATAATAATTGTATATTATATGCTATAATAAAAATTAAACCTAATTAAAGTAATCGAATGAAATTTAAAGTATAGATTTGATAACATCTCATAAATTATAAAATTTAATTATGTGTAGATACTGTAATTTTAAGGTTTTTCTGTCAGATATGATTTATGATTATACTAGTGGACCCATATATTTAATAATTGTATATTATATGCTATCATAAGAATTAAACCTAATTAGAATAATTAAAATAAAATTTAAAGTATAGATTTCATTATCTCATGAACCATGAAATTTAGTTATACGCAAATATAAAAAAAAATTAATTTTTGATTTTATGATAAACCTAATTAAAAATTAAGAAAATTAAAAAGTTTAAGAATTACTGCAGTTCCTAGATAATGGTGCTCTTGTTTAAAATTTCATCACTAGTGAGAAAGAAACAGAGAGTTGTAAAAAAAAAAAAAAATTGAAGATAAAAATTCTTTCTTTCTAATTATAGAAAATCATTTATTTATTATTTTAGAAAACTAAAAGACACAAAATTCATGCACAACGATATACTTCCATAAAGATATATATATATATATATATACATTTATTTTTTTATAATTGTTTTCACCTTGAACTTTAGTTTCACAAAAGTATTACTCTACTTTGAAGTCTGCATATGCATTCACCTCAACAATAAAGTCATCTCCCAGTTGATTGTTGAGGCAAACTCCCTTCAAGGTGTTGATGATTTATCTATTAGGAATGCTTTCAGATATCCACTGCCCTCTTTATCCAATAAGACGCTCAAAGATATATATGGATCTTCGACCCACTTTGTTTACATGCTCTTTGAGCATAGCAAAATTTAATTAATATATACACAAACACACACAGACCTTAATTAACCAAGAACTCTTAAGTCCAATAGTTACGTGGAGAGAAAGGTCCAAAACTTGCCAGGTGCAAGAATGAACCAACAATTACTACACACACACAAACCATTGCAACGTGCTCAAACATAATTTTGAAAAACGTTTGCATAGTTATATTCATTTCCCATAAGAAAAGAGCTTATATCAATTTGATGTCCACAAATAGTGTTCAAAGATGAGTATCATCAAGATATGGCTATTCACTGCAATGAGCTCAACCAAATAAGATGCAGACATATGAAGACGACCAAAAAAGCAAAAAAAGCCTGGCCTTTAGATGATTCAAACAAACCAAGATTCATTTTGTTAAAGAAAACCCCTCCTCCAAACACTGTGTTCTGGTATTTTGCAAAAGACTTTGAAGTAATGTGGGATTACTCGTAACAACAGCATCGACACGCTCGTGCAACATATTTTGCATGGAATCCACATCATCCACAGTCCATGCATATACCTTTTTACTTCTCCTGTAAAAAGAACGATATAATCACAAAGTTCGTATTTGAACTAAATGAAGAATTATTTTGAAGTTTATCTTAACAGGGAAGGCTGAGGATTTTATTAGAAGATGATAAAAACTAAGTTCCTGGGAATTTTAAGTGGAATTCCTTATGAGCACAGTTTTTGTCACTATTAGATGTACTTTTCACAGACTCCTAGTTGAACTAGAAATGATTTCTAAATGAGTTCTAAAAAAATTCCTAATTTATTCCAATCATAGCCTAAGCACCAAAGCAAAGTGAACATGTTTGGAGATGCTGGAGCTATTCCAAACCCTAATAAAAACAAAGATATTGCGAAAAGTAGATTCATACCCATGAAGAATTCGCATGGTCCTTTCATCAATTAATGGATGGTAGATACCAACAACTCCAGCTCCTTTCATCCTCAATAGGTTGGTTCTAACCCTAGTAGAAGGATCTACCATAACAATGTAGCCAACCTTCAAGAACACCAAAACAACAATAAAAATGTGCATAAAACGATTCAAGGGCTCAACTTGATTAACTTGTTGAAACATCTGATATTTCAATCTAAGATTGTTAGATTATAGCCAAAATAATGTAGCAACATGATAGTTACACTTGAAACATGTTCATAACAACAGTATGGAGATTCATGTGAATTTTACTCCATTGCAAGTGTTCCTTTTCCCTTTAAATATCAGTATTTTCATGCACCAATCACAGTGGAGAACTTATGTATTAAATTACTATAAGAAATAAGACAGTAAGTACGTAAAACAGAGAAAATTTACTTACTTCAATATCTGATGATAGCTTGATTACCTCCCTTATTAAAGTGTCACTTTTAGCCCAGATAATGCAGTTCTTACACTGAGTTTTCTCAACCTGAAAGGGTTCCAGATATGAAATCTTAAGGCTTAGGATTTTGAAAATCACGCATGCTAGAAACGGTCATGCACTTATTACAACTTGCACATAGGAGCGCAAAATGGAAAATCTTGAAATAGTTGCTGACAAAGATTTCCAGCCTGCTCAGAGCTAGTTGTAGTCAAGAAATGAGTATCAGATACAAAAAAGCTAGTATTAAGGTTCAAGTACAAACCCATGAATCACTGAAGAGAATAAGAGTCTATCCCGTAACAGCTATGACATATTAAGAATGGAGAAAGGATAACAAATCACACACATATCAGGAGTTTAGTTTGTAACGAATCACTACCTAAGTTTCCTTCTCAATCATTCCTAAAGGTAATAAACATCTATGTTCTAGAAATGTAAACTTCCAATCAAACAGCCATAGATGTTTTTATAGAGCAGGTTACTCTACTATCTTCTTAAGGATTATAATCTTTTATTATAGCTTCAAAATCTAGTACCTTACCTGTCATGGCAAATTCGTTGTTGCAACTATCAATAGTTCTTTGCAACTATTAAAACAAGTAGACAGGAACTGTATCCATGCATTTTCATAGTTAACAGTATTAATATGAAAAAAGAAAACGCTGGAGAAGCAAATAAAAACTCACAACAGATAGAATATCCTTGGCAAGCCCCTTTTCATACAATGGAGGCCCGACTTTTGCGTCCAAAATCACCTGCTTAACTGAACCTGATATCAACTAAGATCAAAAGAAACAAATTACATAGAGAAAACTTATTGTCAAGCTTTAACAGGAAAAAGTCCAAAAAAAGGGGAAACAATCACAGAGGTGAAGCTTTATCCTAGAAATACCGTTAAAGCATCCTCGACGGTAGGAATTATTTGATCTTGAAACTTTTGCAGAGACTGCTGAAAGACTCCTAGTTCTTTGATCTGCAAGAACAGATTAACATGTAACTTCAATCAAGATTTCTCATGGACAACTTCCCACAAGCAGTTTTTTGATAAAACAAAAAACTTATCCTATCTTTCTTAATCAGACCTGATAATGTTCTAAATATAGTTTCCTACATTACAGTAATAGGAAATTTTATAGCTTGCTTAACTGCAATGATATAGTCTAAAGGTTACAAATTACTATGCTCAAATTTTGTTGCAGTTTCATGGAGTATACAGTAGAAAGAGTTGAGCCCACATATTCCATAGACAATCACAATATGCCACCCAAACACAGTAACTAAAAGCAGCTCATGTAGTTGAAATCAAATAGCAGGATAAAACCCTTTAAATTAGGTCTAACCTATCTTTGAGTGGTCTAAACCTTCAGGCATTTCAAGTTCTGAGTCTCTAGATAAATGTTTGAACATTCAGGTTGCAAAGAAGTAAAGTGCTTATAAGACAAATAACTAGAGATTGGCTAGATGAATACAAGTTTCCGAGAACTGGTTAACACACTTAATGAGAAAGAAAAGTTTCAACATCCTCACCTCTTTCATGCTGAAATGTCCAACTTTAGAAGTATTATTGCCAGATATTCGCTGCAAATCCCTGCCTGCATGATGTGAAATCAAGTATCTGGACTGGCTCGAAAATAATTCTGTAGAAATAAATCTAAAACTATTGCAGTCCAACAAGAATAGGAAATAATGCTATTGAGGTTTTCAGTTGCATTCTCAAAATCAGATGTATCAGATCAATGCCTTTGATTTTAATGTTCCAACAACATACATTTTCAGCTTATCTCATTTACCGCATGATGTGAAATCAAGTGTCTGGACTGGCTCAAAAATAATTCTATAAAAAGAAATCTAAAACTATCAAAGTCCAAGAAGAATAGGAAATAATGCTATTGAGGTTTCAGTTGCATTCTCAAAATCAGATGTATCAGATCAATGCCTTT